TCCCATGGTGACCAGAAATGAAATACAGATAGCCATTTCTTCTCATGTACAGTGAGTAAAATGGATTAGTTTCTCTCATCTGTAAAAATGCGTGGTTTTGACTTTGCTCTCTGGTTAATAAAGCCTAATTTTTTTTTTTTGATGGATTTCTGTGGTTGATTTCTTAAGTAAAATGTGAATTAGTAAAAACTTTTTTTTTCCCCTTCAATTAGTGAATGCAGTAGTAGAGATATCTATATTTCAACAAAGAAGGGTGTTTGGAGATGTATTAAGTATTTAAGTAGGTTTTCACCCAAATGTCTGGACCTGCTATTTCAGTAGGTAAGTGAAGAAAAGGTGAGATTTATTTAAGTATTTGTAGCCTTATTCAAAATCTTTATTCAGACAAGTATTGTTATTCTGCAAGAGTGATTTTCTTTCTTATTGTATGTAAATGTGTAGGCTGATGTTCTGTTTGTTCTGAAATCTTTTAAAGTCGTGATAATACTTAATAGTTTTCCTGCTTTTTGACTCCGGAAAGGGGGTGGAAAGAGAAATATAGTGAGCATATTTGGTTTTTAGTCTGATTACCATATCTTAGAAGCCTGTAATCTTGAAGTCATCATCATAATACTAGAAACAGTAGCCTAAATACCGGCCTGTAAATCAAAGTAATGAATCTAGGCACTAAATGTTCCAACATACTGTCAACTCCAGCGAAACTGACTAGCATGCTTTTTCTCTTTTTCGCAGAGAGAGACGGAGGGGGAGAAGGAATGAATTTCACTAGGCCCTGCCCATTCCATGAGACAGGAGGCAATCCAGCACTCAGCTGCCTGTGCGCTAGGGGCTGCGCAACCTCAAGACTCAGCAGGAGAGAGGACAGAAACCAGAGGTGTGGCAGTGACAAGATTCGGGTGAGGGGTGGAGGAAATAATGATGACAAAGGCATTCTTTTCTGTCCACGTCATGGCAAGATCCAGCTGTCCTTTATACTCTTATTGTGCATTTCTCCTACCAAGGAAGAAGACATATCTCCTTACTGCCTGTTTTTTGGCTCTAATGAATACTTTTAAGGAATAAAACAGGAAAAAAAAAATAGTGGAATAAATACTGTATGGGAAATATTTAAAATCAGTTTTTCCAGTGAATCTGATGGGGGTTATAAGTAAAAAAAAAAAAAAATTAACTTTAAAAAAAAAAAAATAAAATATGGAAGATTTAAAACAGTTCAGCTGTTTTTTCAGGAAATTGGTAGATGACTTTAATCTCAGGAAAGTTCATATTACAATAAGAGATTTTCATGTAAGTTAGGTTCAGTTACCTTTTAAAAGAAAAACTCACTTCATTTACATTTGTGCACTTTAGTCTCGTAGATTTAGGGGTTATTTATTTATTTATATTTTTTAGTTTTTCCCACTAATGAAACTTTTTGAAATGATTCAGAGTTAAAGTCATTTTGCCTATTTAATAGTGTTTTCCTTCATTGCATTCCGTTAGATTTCATGATTTATAAAACATGTTACTTTTGTTGAAAGTCAAGCAAGGCTTTACTTGGCTGCCTGGTGGCTCACACCTGAATCCCAGCACTTTGGGAAACGGCTCAGGCACACTACACTGAGGGGAGTGGCCAGGAGTTCAAGACCAGCCTGGAACATAGTGAGACCATGTCTCTATAACAATTTAAAACATCGTTGAAAGTAGGAGTGAACTTACAGGATTCCATCCTACATATGTGTTAATATAACTTTCTTCGCCCTTGCATTATTATGGTAGCAATACAGCTTGTCTTGGCTTTTTTAAAGTCGAATTTAGTCTCTTAATAAAAAAATGACATTTGATTATGTATATCGTACATAATATTGCATACATGGATTTTACAAATGTAATTGGGAACCAAATAGATGACTAGTAGCATGCATTTACTATGTATACTTACTTTTTTTTTACCTCTTGTCTTTTCTTATTTTCAGAGATAGGGTCTTATCTGTGCCCCAGTACGGCAAGCAAATCATAGGCCACCTTAACTTTGAATTCCTGGGCTCAAGGTCCTCCTGCTTCAGCCTTCCAAGTGCTAGCCTCAGCACATACACCACCGGCCGCTTATTTTTTTATTTTGTTTTGTAGCGATGGATCTCGCCCTGTTGCTCAGGTGGTTGGTTCTTGATTCCTGGCCACAGATCCTCCTCCCTGTGCATTTCAAAGTCCTGGGATTAAGTGTGAGCCACCAGGCCTGCTCTATTTTAATTACTATATGTTTATGTAAAATGACTTTTATATCTTAAAGAACTAGAACTATTGATCGACCA